CGCTCTGTCTCTCTCTTCTCCCACCTACACGCTCTCTCTGCCTCTCTATGGTGACCGGCCATGACGGTCAGCCATTACCCCTGTTCCTCTTCTTTCTTACTCCCTCTACTCTGCCGGGCCATATAATAAACTGGTTAGTATGCCTCATCATCCACCTCTTTCTTCTTTTTCTTCAAAAACATAACACTGTGGGTGGCACCAACCCCCTAGGCAGGGTTTTCTGGGCGGTATAAGATGGGAACCAAAGCCAAGTTCTCCCAGTCTTTCCATATCAACCTCCAAAATATGTTACAGACTGTCCCTCTCACCTTTGCCAAGAGCCTCCCCCATCATCCATTTCCCAAAACATCTCAATTTCATCCCCTCCCCTTCCCCCAGGTTTTCCCATTCCTGCATGACCTCAGCCCTTTGGCTCTGCAGTCTCTGGTCTCTGTCCTTGGCTCTCTCCTGCCTGCCTCTCCCTTCTCTTGCCCATCCCCCAACTCAAGTCCCGGTTCAGTCTGGATCCGTTCAGGTGCCTCTGACTAAATTCTTCCTCGTATCTACAATAAACCTTCTCCTCAACCAAACCTCATTTTCCCTTCAAAGCCCTGACCACTCACCTCTTTTTGTCACCCCCACTCTGGTACCCTCACATCACTTCCTAGCCAAGAACTTTGTGAAGTGTCGTCTGCGAATCATCACATGGCCACACGGTGGCAGCACGGGCCTGTTTTTAAACGAGAGCCCGGAGGTTGTCTTTTCTGTGGTGTCCTGGGCTCTGCAGCTTCCCTGCTTGGGGCCCTAGTCAAATCTAGCTCTGATAGTTTCTTCTTTCCTTTCTTCCTCGGTATTGTCCAAGCTAGCCGAGAAAAAAATGCTGTTTCTCATACAGCCGAGCAATTGGGACCATATCACCACCTCCTTGGGGCGACTGGGGATGGAACCCAGAAACAAGATTATTACTAGGCAGGGGCTTTACCAGTGAGCCCGCCCCAGCTCCTCACTGGGGATTCCAGGCAGGTGCTTCACCCTGAACCACATCCTAAACCCTCCTTTTACTGTTTTATTTTGAGCCTGGGCTATCAAGTTGCACAGGTTCACATGAACTTATTCTGTAAACCCGGCTGGCCTTGAACTGGTGATCCTTCTGCTTCAGCCTCATGTGGGGCCATCTCCTTCTCTGATCTTCTGGCTTGCTTTCTCAAAGCCTCCGCCCACCCAGCCTCACTGGTGTTTGTAGGTACGGGAATTACTCCTGCCTCAGCACCTTTGCCGAGCTGCTCCTTCTGCCTGCAGCACACCCCGCCTCCGCCAATGGCCACAGGTTATCCTCTCAAATCTCTGCCTTCTAGAAGTTTGGTGGATTTTATTTTTTGGTGCTGGACCTCAGAGCCTCCCGCCTGCAAAGTTGGCTCTACCCCTGCCTACTGGATACGGTACGTGGGTGAGGAACATTTTATTGCCACGTACCTAGGAACAGATGGTGCCACTTGCTGGACTTTCAGCCTCATGACCATGTACACATAATTTCAAATGTCATGCCTGCTGCATTTTTTTTTAAAACAAACTTTTATGAGCTGCTCTGACCATAGGCCTGGAGTTCTGATCCTGTCAGCTGACTCCAAAATACTGGTGACAGCAGCTCCAAGTTACTGGTGCCCCTTTATGTCTCTGCTGGGTTCTTTGGTTTGGTTTGGTTTGTTTGTTTGTTTTTGCTGTTTTTCCCATTTATTTATTTATTTTGGTTTTTTTGAGATAGGGTTTCTCTGTGTAGTCCTGCCTAGCTGGCTGTCCTGGAACTCACGGAGATCTGTCTGCCTCCACCTGCCCCCCCTCCGCCCCCCATCATTTTCCATTTTTATTACTTATGCATGTATGCATACATGTGTCACCCACATGCCAAAGCATGTATGTGGATGGCAGAGGACAAGTGACAGTAGTCAAGTATCTCCACCCTCCAGATCTCAGAGACAGAACTTAGGTGTTAGCTTGGTGGAAGTGCCTCAGCCAGCTGAGCAACCTTGCCAGCCCCATACAAGAAACTGATGTTGGGACAATCAAGCTGTTTTTTGAAATATATTCTTTCTGCTTCTTTTGTTCTTCCTCTGTAGAAAGCAACTCCTTCTGCCCTGGGACACTTGCTGCTCTATAGAATGAAGTTTTGTCAGTTCTAGAATCAAAGATAAGATGAATGGCATATGAGAGAGAGAGAGACAGAGACAGAAAATCTGTTTCTGTTTTTTTTTGTTATTTCCTTCAGATGGGGTTGTCCAGGCTGGCCTAGAACTTACTTTGTAGCTGAACTCCTGGTCTTTTTGCCTCCACTTCCAATGTGCTGGGACTGTAGGACCGTGCAACCATACCTTACTTAAAACTATTTGGATGCGGGCCAGACATTGGTGGCGCACACCTTTAATCCCATCACTCGGGAGGCAGAGGCAGGCAGATCTCTGTGAGTTCGAGGCCAGCCTGGTCTACAGAGTGCCAGGATAGGCTCCAAAGTACACAGAGAAACCCTGTTTCGAAAAACCAAACCAACCAAACAAAAACAATTTGGATGCTTGTAGTTTGCCCTTTGACACACATCTTAGTAGGAAGAGCAAATTAAACCCACAGTGAAGTCTGACTTCTCATCCAGTGCAAGTTAAGGTTAAAGGGATTATAACATATGTTGTCAGATGTGGGGAGACAGGATGCTGGCGTGCACATGTGTTGCTATCAGGAGGGTAAAGCAGAAGGGTCACTTGTCACACTGAGGTTGCTAAGACAAGAGGAGCACGCCATCAGTGCTACCTTAGACTTCTTAAAATGTTATTACTCTTTTTCATGTGTATGGATATTTTGCCTGCATGTATGTAAGAACATCGATTATGTACCTGGGGCCTGTGGAGGTCAGAGGAGGGCATTGTCTCTCCTGGGACTGTAGTTACAGATGGTTTTGAGTTGCCATGTGGGTGTTGGAATTGAACCCAGGTCCTCTGCAGTCAATCTCCATCTCTCCAAACTTATGCTTCTGAGACCTTGTTTCAGAACAAAATAAAATGAACAACTCTTGTGTATCAGTGTTGGAAATGAAGGGTGGTCCAGGACACACCAAGACAAGTTGTCAGCACAAGGGAGAGGTATTTGCCCCAGAGGGACAGAGGGCAGGGAATAAGAGATAAAGACAGTAGACAGAGGAGAAGGGACAAGGGGTGTTGGGGCCCGAAAATATCAATTATTTTATTTCAGATGCAGGCCTCAAGCTCTATCCCAGGAGCTTGAATCTCACATTGTCTTTTAGATGTTACCACCAGATGGCTTGGCCTCAGTGGAGAATTCTCCTAGTTTGCATAACAACAGATCTAGGCCCTGGGTGAGCCCACACCTATTCTGAGGGCTTCTATACCTGCCTAGGCACTGGTGAGAGGCTGGGGAGGACATGCAGTTTTAGGGGTGCCTCTAGGATTAAAAGACATATTTTATATCAGCTTTACATGATAATAGATTTCTTTTGAGATCACCCCCACTGTGGGAAAGCTATTTAAGAGGATGCTTGAATAAACCGTGGACTCCAGTTTCCTGTATGGACTGAGAGCCTTCCTGAAATGACAAGATGCCTCAGTCTCATCTTTATCCCCGTGGGGTAGCTAGGAGTTTCCCGATCCACACTCTCCACTCAGGGATGGACCCAGGGCTGTTCAGCTGGCTCTGATTGCAGCCCCAAAGACATCAGTCTGGAATAGATGGCCTCTGTAGCGTGGAACTGATACAGACAGGCCGGACCCCGGCAGAGGGGGAACGGAGGGACAAAGGACTGCCTCCGGATAGAGAGGAGACAGACGTGGCCCATAAGCAAAAAACAGTTTATAAAGGGAAAAGGGGAAACCCCCTTTTAGGATGAATTGGTTTGTTTTGATTGGGCATGTTAATTAGGGTAGCCAAAGGGGGTTCTGATTGTCGGGCTTTTATACTTTGATAGCCGGACCTTGGTTGTCAGCCTCAGGAGGGAGTGGCCAAACAAAGGAACAGACCTTGATGGAATGTAGTCTACGGTTTAGCAAAGAAGAGGGAGCCAGGGAAGGGTGAGCTCTGCCAGAGTCATGTTTGCCATGGTGGGGCTGGTGAGAGTCCTATAGTTGGCTGTTTTTTATTCTTTGCTCTTACTCTTTGGGGGTCTGCCACCCAGCACCTAAATAAATCATACATGGAGACTTATTTTTACTTATGAATGCCCAGCCTTAGCTTGCCTTGTTTCTAGCCAGCTTTTCTTAAATTATTCCATCTACCTTTTTGTTGTTGTTGTTTATTTGTTTGTTTTTTCAAGTCAGGATTTCTCTGTGTGGCCTTGGCCATCCTGGAATTCACTCTGTAGACCAGGCTGGCCTTGAATTCACAGAGATCCCCTTCCTCTGCCTCCCAAGTGCTGGGATTAAAGGCGTGCACTACCACCACCGCCCAGCTCCATCTACTTTTTGCCTCTGGGCTTTTTCCTTTCCCCTTTTCTGTATACCTCACTTTTACTCTGTAGCTGGGTGAGTGAGTGGCTGGGTGGCTGGGTGGGTGGTGGGCAGCTGGCCCTCATCATCCTCTTCTCCTTGTTCTCCCTCCTTTTTCTCATTTCTCTTTCCATTTACTCTCTCTGCCTGCCAGCCCCGCCTACCCTTTCTCCTGCCTCACTATTGGCCATTCAGCTCCTTATTAGACCAATCAGGTGTTTTAGACAGGCAAAGAATAATCACAGCTTCACCGAGTTAAAGAAATGCAGCATAAAAGAATGCAACACATCTTTGCATCATTAAAAAAATGCTACACAGCATAAACAAATGCAACACATCTTAAAATAATTTTCTATAGCATCCTTCCCACTTTTTTTGTTTTGTTATTGGGTCCCTGGGTGTTGGTCAAGGCAGGGAAAAGCAGAGTGTGTCAGTCTGTGCCTAGGTTCTGTGGGACCATCTGAGGCTAGGCAAGGATGTAGACTGGGCCAGGATGTAGACTCTGAGGAAACAGCTGGGGTGGTGCTACAGATGCTGGAGAAGTCTTGTTGCTTTGGAATCTGGAAGGACAGATAGACTAGGGACAGAGGTGCAGTTAAGGAGTTAGGGGAAATGCTTATCTCAGGTGCACATTTGAGACTTAGTCCCTTAGTGCCCTGACTGTTGTCGGGGGCAGGGTCTGTCTCTTAAAGAGATATTGCCGATCAGTTGGGAAGTGGAGTCCCAGGGTCAGGGAAGGGGGATCCACCCTCAGGGATAGGCAGTAGGCAGGAAACTCAGGCTGTGGGTGGGCAGGAGTACTTACCTGCCCTTGAGAGGAGCCAGGAAAACTTAGATTGATTGTGTAAGATTAATTGGGGAACAACAGGTACCTGAAAACAGGGTCTGCTTGTGTTAGGGGAGAATGCAATTTGAGAAGCTTCCGTTACATCAGAATAGGCTTCCCTGGGGTGTCCAGGTGGGTTTTGAAGTTGGGACATTTTAGAAACAGGGAGAGGCTCTTGGCAAATGGTGAGAGGGATTGTGTGTAGCAGGGTTTTTTTGTTTTTTTTTTTTTTGAGTTGGTGTGGAAAGGTTGAGAGAACTTGGCTTTGGTTTCCAAAGTAGGGCTTGGATGGTCAAGGGGACAAGCAGTTAGTAGTGGGGCGGCATTGCAACTGGGGTGTCACTGCAATGAGGGCATTGAAGGGAAGCACAAAGAAAGCAGAAGCAGGG